AAACATATTTAGATATATCGAAATCGTCTTCCATTGCGATTTCCTGTATATATGTTTAGATCTTCACAGTGAAAACTAAAACTTCCGAAATCTCTGTGTAAACAATGAGTGACGTAGACGCGCAAGAGATCACTTCCAGCGGAACATTGGACATGGTTCAGTTGGACATTGGATAACTGATTCAGATCAGTTGGACATGGCTGTGGTTACACAAGGTAAAAACGAAATAAATACTGTTCGTTTTCTGACACAAACCGCTCGTTTCGTGTCTTAGGCCATCAATGTGTACTTACATTTACGAGTCATTAAATCATGTCACTAAGTCCCCTAAACCTGCATTATATGACTGATAGACAACAACGGTTTGACCGAAAAATGTAAAAATTGAAAATACTGTGGAAACAAAGACACCTACATCTTGGATGCCCTTGAGGTAAGATAAAACATATCAACAATTAATTTCAAAGTGAACTATCCCTTTAAACAGACTCTGAACAGTCTCTGACTAGGGCTGTGTATTGACAAGAGGCTCACGATACGATACATATCTTGATATATGTGTCACGACACAATATAACAGCCCTATTCGATAGGCATGACGTGAAGAGATTCAACTTTTACTATGGGTTTTTGCGGACGAGGAGGACTTGGACTTGGACAGACACGCAGAACAAGCTGATTTACATAGCAGTCTTTTTGCGCTTTCATGTTAACAGTTGCGATTTGATTTAATACACCTCTCTACTTTCAATTTATTCATTCATCAAAGGGTTGGCGTGTTTTACATGGCATCTGTGTTATGTAGGACAAATTCAATATTATTCACTGGATTCCTGGATTCCCTCTGCATCACGGAATTCATTCTGCTTTAAGTTATAAACAGGACATACCTTTATCTGCATGGAGGGATGGCGTTCTCTGTTTCCTCCTTTTACATACACGTTTCGTCCACGTTTTTTTATTAATTGGATAACTATCCTCAAGGACAACCACATGTTTTTTTTTCCTACATCCACATACTGGCAATGGTTCGCTTAATAAAATAATTCCACAGTGTTTCGCCTTCAGCTGGGTCTGCATCACCTTTGCACGTTTGTTCTCCCACCCTTCAATCAATGCACTAGAATCAGGAGAGTGATTTATTTCCCGCTAATATTATTTTTTTACTCAGTAACGGGTATGATTTAAAATGTAGCGAAGTAAGACTTCAAACAAAACGTACTTCAGTAAAAGTAAACTAACAGATTTTAAAAACTTAAGTATAAATACACAGAAAAAAAGTACTCAATACTTAACATGAGTAAATGTAATTTGTCACTTTTCACCTCTGTATGGTAGGTAACATATGTAACAAGAACAGTGTAAAATAAAGTGTTACCAACTTTTTTCTCCACTGAAATTATCAGTAACTAAACTTTGTTTCTTTTTCCTAGGGTGTGACTCACAACTGGATGGTAACTAGTTTTTCCAACAATTCAAGTTGCCAAATTCCTATAAAAATGACCTAAAATGTGTTGGTCTAAAATGTGTTTTCTTTACCTTGTCCATTGTCAGAGTGTGGCAAAGCACGTTTCAACTCAAGGATAGTGGGGGGAGTGGATGCACTGGCTGGGGCTTGGCCATGGCAGGTCAGCCTTCATAGGAACGGGAGACATTTTTGTGGTGGATCACTCATCAACAATCAATGGGTTCTGACAGCAGCTCACTGCTTTAACAGGTCATTATAATAAACCAGCCCTTGCAATTATTAAAAAAAACTCATTCAACTGATGTGGAGAATGCTTAACCCTTCCTTTTCTACCATATTCCAGTGTTTCAACCTCTGGCCTAATTGTGTACCTGGGACGACAGACACAGGAAGGAACAAATGCAAATGAGGTGTCTAGAGGTGTCTCTAGTATCATAAAACACCCAAACTATGTTAGCAGCGCTTTCGATAATGACATCACTCTTCTGCGACTGGCTTCGCCGGTGAATTTTACTGACTTTATCAGTCCGGTCTGTCTGGCTTCCTCAAACAGTATGTTCTTCAAGCAAACCTCCAGCTGGGTCACAGGATGGGGAACGATAAATTCAAGCAGTACGTATTTCATTTAACTAACCTCGAGCAGAGTCACAGGATACTTTACCATTGCAATAGTTGACGTTTATTTGACCATTGTATGTGTTTCTCAGCTCCACTGCCTTCACCGCAAACTCTACAGGAAGTGGATGTGCCTATTGTTGGAAACAGGCAGTGTAAGTGTCTTTATAGTGCCTCAACAATCACAGACAACATGATATGTGCTGGACGAATAGAAGGGGGCAAAGACTCCTGTCAGGTAACAACTCCCACACTTCTGTTTGTTTTACTTCATAGTTTTAATGGGCTGGTAATATTCTGCAATATAGTTATAGTTTAGAATAAGTAGAATGATGGGTCTCTACTAAAACTCTTACTTTATCCAAATAAACTGATAATGTAACGGTTGAACTTTGTCTAATGCAAGGGAATTCAACCTAGCGAATCACTTTAAATACACTATTGGAGTAATTGCAATGTTCAGACTATCGAGATATTGTGTGTGTGTGTGTGTATAGTCATGTTGTAGTTTTCATGTGACAAGTCTTCCAACCATAACAGTGTAATTTTCAATGACGAGTCTTGATCTTCCTTAAAAAGAGAAGCACTAAAATCTTCGAGACATTTCCTAACATGAGACTTGACGCTTTAAACATGCAATAACAATGATGTCATTTTCCCATTATACCTTCATATTATATATTACAGCTGTGAACTACAACTGGAATAGATATGTGGACCAGGATACTTGGTATGTCACTAACCTGTTCTTCATCCTACAGGGTGACTCTGGTGGTCCTATGGTCAGCAAACAGGGCTCGCTCTGGATCCAGTCTGGAGTTGTGAGCTTTGGCGAGGGTTGTGCTGAACCCAACTTTCCTGGTGTGTATGCCAGAGTTTCTAAGTACCAGAACTGGATCAATGAGCATATCACCACCAACCAGCCAGGCTTCATTACATTCACCTCCAATGGTACTGATGGTGACCTGAGCATCAGCTGTACTGATGTGCCTGCCATTACCACAACTACTGCCCCTACAACTACTGTCCCAAGTGAGGTTCCTTCAACTTATAAGATCCTGAAAAAAATCATGCATACATTGTTCACTTAGCAACTTGTCCAAGGACTTTTGTGGATTAAAAGTGTACTTGATTTCAAATTGTTTTTTACTTAAATTCAGGTAAACACACAGCAAAAACTCCAGTATTAAATTAACTCTCCTGGTAGTTTATATGACTCCACACTCCAGAGTGTTAAATTAACACTGAAACAGTGTTAAAGTTAATGAGATAATTAAGTGATTAATGTAGCGATGATTGACCAACATTGAAGACACCTGATGTTAACAAGTAGAATCACTGAAGGTGGAAAATCACAATTTTAAGTCACCATTATGGAGATCAGTGTTTACTTTAGTTGGGCAGTTAACCCTTACATTTTATATTTTAGATATTGTTTTGCTGTTGTACCTGAGTTATGACTGTCAGATGAACAAAGAAAAAAGATGATCTGATGGTGTTGGTTATGTTTTAACAAAATCATTAGTTGTCCTGAATCACTGAACTAAAGTAGAGAGTAATCTCTGACTTAAATGTATATTGCTGATTACAGCATCACAGTGATTCTACAGCGTACGATCCAAAAATATTGATTCAATTCAAATTCTGTTTTAAAAGTTCTTCTGATAAAAATAATATATATATATATATTAGGCACTCACAGAAATCAAGAATCATTCTATGAATCTCAACAATGGTGACAACCATTAGGAAAAGGAAATTACTAAAATATTTCAGATCATAATTTATTCATACTACAATGCATGATGGGAGCCATGAATGAGTTTTGAATGAGTAAAACATTGAATTGCTTTTACTTGAGAAAAAATAAGAAAGTACTAGATTTCCAATTTAATGAAGTATTAAATGAAATTCAATATGAAACATAGTGCAGTAAAAAGTATGACATTATGCTTTGCAATGTTGTGAAGTAAAAGTTTTACTTAGAAAAACACTCTAATAAATTACAGACACTTTAAGAAATGTACTTAAGCACAGTAAAAATACTTCACTACTGTCCGCCTCTGCTGTGCACAATTTAAGTTGCAAAATTCTTATGAAAATGACCAATTGTTTACCTAAAATGTGTTTTCCTTACCTTGTTCATTGTCAGTGTGTGGCAAAGCACGTTTCAACTCAAGGATAGTGGGGGGAGTGGATGCACTGGCTGGGGCTTGGCCATGGCAGGTCAGCCTTCATAGGAATGGGAGACATTTTTGTGGTGGATCACTCATCAACAATCAATGGGTTCTGACAGCAGCTCACTGCTTTAACAGGTCATTATAATAAACCAGCCCTTGCAATTATAAAAAAAAAACTCATTCAACTGATGTGGAGAATGCTTAACCCTTCCTTTTCTACCATATTCCAGTGTTTCAACCTCTGGCCTAATTGTGTACCTGGGCCGACAGACACAGGAAGGAACAAATGCAAATGAGGTGTCCAGAGGTGTCTCTAGTATCATAAAACACCCAAACTATGTTAGCAGCACTAACGATAACGACATCACTCTTCTGCGACTGGCTTCGCCGGTGAATTTTACTGACTTTATCAGTCCGGTCTGTCTGGCTTCCTCAAACAGTATGTTCTTCAAGCAAACCTCCAGCTGGGTCACAGGATGGGGGACGATAAATTCAGGCAGTACGTATTTCATTTAACTAACCTCGAGCAGAGTCACAGGAGACCTTACTATTGCAATATATGACATTTATTTGACCATTTTATGTGTTTCTCAGCTCCCTTGCCTTCACCGCAAACTCTACAGGAAGTGGATGTGCCTATTGTTGGAAACAGGCAGTGTAAGTGTCTTTATAGTGCCTCAACAATCACAGACAACATGATATGTGCTGGACGAATAGAAGGGGGCAAAGACTCCTGCCAGGTAACAACTCCCACACTTCTGTTTGTTACTTCATATAGTTTTAATGGGCTGTTAATATTCTGCAAAGTTTATATAGTTAAGAATAAGTAGAATGAGGGGTCTCGACTAAAACTTTTACTTTAGACAAATAAACTGAGCCATAGGGTTTAACTTTGTCCAATGCAAGGGCATTCAACCTAGTCAATCACTTTCAAAACACTATTGGATTAATTGCAATCTTCGGACCATTGAGATATTGTGTGCGTGTGTGCATGTGTGTGTGTGTAGTCATGTTGTAGTTTTCTTGTGACCAGTCTTCCAACCATAACAGTGTAAATTTCAATGAAGAATGTTGATCGTCCATAAAAAAGAGAAGCACTAAAATCTTCAGGACATTTCCTAACATAAGAATAACTTGACGCGTTAAACATGCAATTACAAGGATGTCATTTTCTTATTATACCTTCATATTATATATTACAGCTGTGAACTACATCTGGAATAGATGTGTGGAAGAGGTTACTTGGTATGTCACTAACCTGTTCTTCATCCTACAGGGTGACTCTGGTGGTCCTATGGTCAGCAAACAGGGTTCGCTCTGGATCCAGTCTGGAGTTGTGAGCTTTGGCGAGGGTTGTGCTGAACCCAACTTTCCTGGTGTGTATGCCAGAGTTTCTAACTACCAGAACTGGATCAATGAGCATATCACCACCAACCAGCCAGGCTTCATTACATTCACCTCCAATGGTACTGATGGTGACCTGAGCATCAGCTGTACTGATGTGCCTGCCATTACCACAACTACTGCCCCTACAACTACAACTGTCCCAAGTGAGGTTCCTTCAACTTATAAGATCCTGAAAAAAATCATGCATACATTGTTCACTTAGCAACTTGTCCAAGGACTTTTGTGGATAAAAAGTGTACTTGATTTCAAATTGTTTTTTACTTAAATTCAGGTAAACACACAGCAAAAACTCCAGTATTAAATTAACTCTCCTGGTAGTTTTTATGACTCCACACTCCAGAGTGTTAAATTAACACTAAAACAGTGTTAAAGTTAATGAGATAATTAAGTGATTAATGTAGCGATGATTGACCAACATTGAAGACACCTGATGTTAACAAGTAGAATCACTGAAGGTGGAAAATCACAATTTTAAGTCACCATTATGGAGATCAGTGTTTACTTTAGTTGGGCAGTTAACCCTTACATTTTATATTTCAGATATTGTTTTGCTGTTGTACCTGAGTTATGACTGTCAGATGAACAAAGAGAAAAGATGATCTGATGGTGTTGGTTATGTTTTAACAAAATCATTAGTTGTCCTGAATCACTGGACTAATGTAGAGCGTAATCTCTGACTTAAATGTATATTGATGATTACAGCATCACAGTGATTTTACAGCGTACGATCCAAAAGTTTTGATTCAATTCAAATTCTGTTTTAAAAGTTCTTCTGATAAAAATAATATATATATATATTTTAGGCACTCACAGAAATCAAGAATCATTGTATGAATCTCAACAATGGTGACAACCATTAGGAAAAGGAAATTACTAAAATATTTCAGATCATAATTTATTCATACTACAATGCATGATGGGAGCCATGAATGAGTTTTGAATGAGTAAAACATTGAATTGCTTTTACTTGAGAAAAAATAAGAAAGTACTAGATTTCCAATGTAATTAAGTATTAAATGAAATTCAATATGAAACATAGTGCAGTAAAAAGTATGACATTATGCTTTGTAATGTTGTGAAGTAAAAGTTTTCCTTAAAAAACAGTCTAATAAATTACAGACACTTTAAGAAATGTACTTAAGCACAGTAAAAATACTTCACTACTGTCCGCCTCTGCTGTGCACAATTTAAGTTGCAAAATTCCTATAAAAATGACCAATTGTTTGTCTAAAATGTGTTTTCCTTACCTTGTCCATTGTCAGTGTGTGGCAAAGCACGTTTCAACTCAAGGATAGTGGGGGGAGTGGATGCACTGGCTGGGGCTTGGCCATGGCAGGTCAGTCTTCATAGGAGCGGGAGCCATTTTTGTGGTGGATCACTCATCAACAATCAATGGGTTCTGACAGCAGCTCACTGCTTTAACAGGTCATTATAATAAACCAGCCCTTGCAATTATTTAAAAAAAAAACTCATTCAACTGATGTGGAGAATGCTTAACCCTTCCTTTTCTACCATATTCCAGTGTTTCAACCTCTGGCCTAATTGTGTACCTGGGACGACAGACACAGGAAGGAACAAATGCAAATGAGGTGTCTAGAGGTGTCTCTAGTATCATAAAACACCCAAACTATGTTAGCAGCAGTAACGATAACGACATCACTCTTCTGCGACTGGCTTCGCCGGTGAGTTTTACTGACTTTATCAGTCCGGTCTGTCTGGCTTCCTCAAACAGTATGTTCTTCAAGCAAACCTCCAGCTGGGTCACAGGATGGGGGACGATAAATTCAGGCAGTACGTATTTCATTTAACTAACCTCGAGCAGAGTCACAGGAGACCTTACTATTGCAATATATGACATTTATTTGACCATTTTATGTGTTTCTCAGCTCCCTTGCCTTCACCGCAAACTCTACAGGAAGTGGATGTGCCTATTGTTGGAAACAGGCAGTGTAAGTGTCTTTATAGTGCCTCAACAATCACAGACAACATGATATGTGCTGGACGAATAGAAGGGGGCAAAGACTCCTGCCAGGTAACAACTCCCACACTTCTGTTTGTTACTTCATATAGTTTTAATGGGCTGTTAATATTCTGCAAAGTTTATAAAGTTAAGAATAAGTAAAATGAGGGGTCTCGACTAAAACTTTTACTTTAGACAAATAAACTGAGCCATAGGGTTTAACTTTGTCCAATGCAAGGGAATTCAACCTAGTCAATCACTTTCAAAACACTATTGGATTTATTGCAATCTTCGGACCATTGAGATATTGTGTGCATGTGTGTGTGTGTAGTCATGTTGTAGTTTTCTTGTGACAAGTCTTCCAACCATAACAGTGTAATTTTCAATGAAGAATGTTGATCGTCCATAAAAAAGAGAAGCACTAAAATCTTCAGGACATTTCCTAACATAAGAATAACTTGACGCGTTAAACATGCAATTACAAGGATGTCATTTTCTTATTATACCTTCATATTATATATTACAGCTGTGAACTACAACTGGAATAGATGTGTGGACCAGGATACTTGGTATGTCACTAACCTGTTCTTCATCCTACAGGGTGACTCTGGTGGTCCTATGGTCAGCAAACAGGGCTCGCTCTGGATCCAATCTGGAGTTGTGAGCTTTGGCAAGGGTTGTGCTGAACCCAACTTTCCTGGTGTGTATGCCAGAGTTTCTAACTACCAGAACTGGATCAATGAGCATATCACCACCAACCAGCCAGGCTTCATTACATTCACCTCCAATGGTACTGATGGTGACCTGAGCATCAGCTGTACTGATGTGCCTGCCATTACCACAACTACTGCCCCTACAACTACTGTCCCAAGTGAGGTTCCTTCAACTTATAAGATCCTGAAAAAATCGGTAACGCTTCCTTTTACAGTCCAGTTACCCATGTAAATACTATGTACTTATTTTAGTAACCACAATTACTGGGTAATAACTAGTACTAACCCTGAACCTACCCCTGTTCCATGCACTTACCTTATATTAGCCAGTACTTTCTAGGTAAGTACACTGTAAGTACTGTACTGTAAAAGGAAGCATTACCAAAAAATCATGCATCCATTGTTCACTTAGCAACTTGTCCAAGGACTTTTGTGGATTAAAAGTGTACTTGATTTCAAAGTGTTTTTTACTTTTTACTGTAAAACACATATTTATATTGCTAGTGAAGGAAATTCATGTAGTCATTTTCAAGGTGAAAGAAGCACAGGGCTCCAGACCCAATGCGACAAAAAAAGAGAAAGATACAATAATTTAAAATGCATTCAAAATTAGCAACACTTTTATCAGATATCATCATTTCATTAGAGTTCCTAAATGCAACAATGAACAATCAACAATGAAAAATTTTTTTTTTTAATGAGCCAGACAAAACTATTAATGAAAATGCATTATGCTTGTGACTTAGTAAAATAATATACACTATATACTAAATATGTATAATATACACTCACAGTGTGCTGAAATATGACTGAAAATTCAAGATACTAACCTTTACCTCCTTACTGAAATATCAGTTGGCCAGAGAGTGATTCCTCTCATGTACTCAAGTACATTTTTCGGTAACACTTTAGAATACGGTTCCTTCGTTAATGAATGACTACACAAGAACTGATGAGTAACACAATATTAACAATCTAGTAACTATTATTAACTAACAAGAAACTCTGATTAACGAACTAGTAAGTAATAGCGCACAGACGAAAGTGGTAGTTCACTATTAAGTAATCAATAACTACTATTTTTTTAATACTTCCCAGAGAACTACTGAAAAAGTTTTTTAACAATCTAGTAACTACTATTAACTAAAAGAAACTCTTATTAACGAATTAGTAAGTAATAGCTCACAGATGAAAGTGTTACTAGATACTTCTGGGGGAATTACTAATTATTTGTATCCGTATTATAAAGTGAAGATCATTGGAACTAACTAGTAATTACTCAAGTGTTACTAAAGACATTTTCTAAAAGTTACTAAAGTTCACCAAAAATCTCAAACGGTTGCACAAATCATGACTAGATCATGTAGTAACACTTGAGTAAGTACTAGTTAGTTCCAATGATCTTCACTTTATAATACGGATCCAAATAATTAGTAATTCCCACAGAAGTATCTAGTAACACTTTCATCTGTGAGCTATTACTTACTAATTATTTGGATCCGTAATATAAAGTGAAGATCATTGGAACTAACTAGTAATTACTCAAGTGTTACTACATGATCTAGTCATGATTTGTGCAACCGTTTGAGATTTTTGGTGAACCGGAGACGGAGTTTGCAATCTCAAACAACGGATAGCTAATAATTTTGACTATTCAAACAACGGCCTGAAAGCCTGTTCTTCCAGTGCTCTACATCGCTTTAATTGTCTATGCTAATAACCCATTACTGTTAGTCTAAGCATAATCAAAGATCAAAGAAATCAAAGAAACATTTGACTGATAAATCCCGGTGTTCATTGTCTTTCTCTCTGTTCCTGTAGCTGTAGTGTGTGGACGTGCCAATCTGAACACCCGTGTAGAAGGGAACAGCTCCCTTGTGTCTCCAGGCATATGGCCATGGATGGCCAGTCTGCAGTTCAACGGCAGTCACGTTTGTGGAGGAACGCTAATTGCTGAACGGTTTGTCTTGAGCTCTGCCAGTTGTTTTACCAGGTAATGGCACTTAAATCTGAAAAAAAAGGACATTTGATTAGAGAAATCAAAATGATTTGATTTAATGGTATGTTTTTTGGTCCAGCTCCAACAATGCTTCCGATTGGTCCGTGATCCTGGGCCGTCTAAATCAGAACGGCTCCAACCCCAATGAGGTCTCTATAAAAGTGGCGAATCTCACCATCAGCAATGTCACAGGCGACAACGTTGCAGTCTTGCAGCTGGCCGTCGCACCAAACCTAACGGATTTCATTCAGCCTATATGCGTGGACGTGGGAGAGAATACTTTCAGCGCTGATACTCAATGCTGGGTGGCAGGATGGAGCTCAGGAGCAGGAGGAGGTGTGTTTTGAGTAAATTCTATGGGGATAAAATGTCCCCACAAAGACGTTTATTGTCGCTATGATGTATAAAAGTATAGAATCATTATGTATATGGAAAGTCCCCATGATACATGGAACCCCACATGTGGGTGTCCTGGTAAATCCTACTTTATGGGGATATACAAAATGGATATTTTTGGTCCCCATGAGGAAAACAGTTTTTAAATCATAATAAGTAATACGTTTTCTGTAATGGGTAGGTTTAGAGTTTGGGTGTGTGTATGTGAATGCTTTGAAACATTACACTAATTGGTAAAATTAGATTATTAGAATGTTTATCCTTTTTTCCAATTTCCAAAGATGTTTTCCTTCTTTTATAGTGAATCAAACTCTTCAGGAATCCAAGACCTCTATTGTGGATTGTGGAAACTCACAAAGCGACAGTATTTGCACAAGTTCTTTGAACTTACAGCAGGCAAGTCAATTCTCTTGGTCTATCTATATATTGGTCTATAAAACTATATATATATATATATATATATATAAAAATTATAAAACAAAGATTGTTGTTTATTGTTAGATCATGATGCCTATTTCATCATCTTAAGATATAGATATAAGATATAATAGATATAACAGTTTTAAATAAAGTATAACAGTTACATGAATTATTCCGATAACATGGTAAAGTAAAAATTATTACAATTTAAAATAGTTGTTTTGTATCTAAATATGTGGTAAAATGTCATTTATTTCTGGATGTAAAAGCTGAATTTTCAGCATCATTACTCCAGTCTTCAGTGTCACATGATCCTTCAGAAAACATTATGACATGATTTATTTTCAATTATTTGTATTATGATGATAACAGTTGTTCTGCCAAATATGTTTTTCATAAGTATTTGATAAAAAGAAAGTTCAAAAGAACAACTTGTATTTTAAATAAAAAAAAAAATCTATTATAAATGTCTTGACTGTTATTGATCAATTTAAAGGAATAGTTCACTTTTAAAAAAAAACTTTTGCTGATAATTGACTCACCCCCATGTCATCCAAGATGTCCATGTCTTTCTTTCTTCAGTCGAAAAGAAATTTAATACAAAATTTAAAAGAAATTTAATTTAGAAATTTAAATTCTGGAATCGTTTAAAGCCCTTTGAACAGTTTGCACTGAAACTGTCTTTTGGACCTTGAACTGTTTGGTTCCCACTAAAGTCCATTATATGGAGAAAATCCTGGAATGTTTTCATCAAAAACCTTAATTTATTTTCGACTGAAGAAAGAAAGACATGAACATTGGATGACATGGGGGTGAGTAAATTATCAGCAAAAGTTTTTTTTTTTTTTTTTAAAGTGAACTTCTCCTTTAAAGCACCTTAACTGAATAGAAGTGTATTTATGTTAAATTTTACTGACAAAACAGTAGTTTTTAACTAAACATTTGAATATACCAAATGTTACAAATGTTACAAAACGACAAATGTCATTTTATGTCAATTTTGTAACTTTCATTAAAGATTTCCCTCTCTCACACACACCACAGGGTGATGAAGGGGGTCCGCTGATGTGTAAGCAGGGTCTATCATGGATCCATGCTGCAGTTTTGACAAGTAGCAGATCCCGCTCTGCTCTCCGTCAAGATATCCAGGTCTTAAGTAAAACCTCCAGCTTTGCATCATTCCTGAGAACTGTGGTGGGCCCTTTCCCTCCAAAAGTCACAAGTGCAACCAGTACCAACAAACCCCAAGCTGCCCCTGATGGGTCACAAGCATTTTCTTCCATCTCGTTTACCGTCCTGTTCCTCTCACTTACAGCTTTCCAAATCTTTCTTCAAGGCATCAATTAAGTCTTTTGAGTATAAAGGGCTACTTTCATGACATTTATAAAGCGCTTTTCTCGGCTGTCAAAGCACTTTACATATAAGGGGAATCTCCTCAACCACCACCAATGTGCAGCATCTGGATGATGCAACGGCAGCCATATTGTGCCAGAACGCCCACCACACACCAGCTTACTGGTGGAGAGGAGACCGTAGATGAAACTAATCAGTATATGGGGATGATTAGGAGGCCATGATGGACAGAGGCCAATTGGCAAATTGTTTTTTTCTTTGTGACCACTGAGAGTCAGGACCTCGGTTTAACGTTTCATCCGAAGGACATCAAAAGCTTTTGTGAAGCATATAATTCATTTTTACTTCTGACAAATGTGAACTCTTAAGATATCTATTATCTCACACCATGAAGTTGTGGCCTGTTGTTCTTACACTACTATTACATTGCATGGTTTTCTCTGGCAGTACCTTAAAACAAGTGTATGGGTAATAATTTGTGTAAGCAGGCATATAGTTTACATATTGTATAGTTTCATTGTAACAGATACAAAATGAAGTTGTTCTTCACCAAGGCACTTTATGAAAATGTCCCAAATCGAGTGGTTCATTTCCAATACTCACTGTAACGTAGCTTAACCAACAAATACCTCAAGCTGTACCACACTTGGGACATTACTGTAAGTAAAATAAATTAAGTACTTTGGAAAAATCATCTATTTTATTCAAATGTGAATGTGTATATTTTTCGGTTGTACAAATTATTAAATTAAAATAACAAATTAAGCTGAAAAAAAATAATGTTTTGTGCATTTATTTGAAGCATTTCGGCAAGAGGCAGAGGCATCCGGTAAGAATGTGGCTTATATTCTGCAGTCATTGCTGCTGTGAATGTGAGTCTGTGCAGTTTAACAGATACTGACAAAAGATCAAGAAAGAAGATACATCCCAGATAGCAAACAGTCACTGAAACTATGCTAAATCAACATTCCGTTGTCAGCACTAAGTCATTGAATCAACATTAAACTCTGATGTTGATTCTACATCATTTTGCACCCTGTTTTAATATTGAAACAACATTGAAATTATGTCCAAATCCTGGGTTGGGGGATAAACGGTGAAGGCAATGTAGACTAACTGTGTTTCTGTAAACCTTGTGTGTATTTGGCAGCACAATCAAACGTGAAAGATAAAGATCAGGCGCTGTTTGACAGTGCATGCGTGCTTCGGGCAGAACAGAATGCCAATAAAATGTCTAAATGGCAAAGCTTTAAAGCACGAGCAAATAATACACTTTTGTGGCTCCTGGATGGGACGAGGCAGGTTTGAGTACCCTGCCATCTGTGGTGGTGGCTACCATCACCTCGCCGAGAAGACACCAGGTGATGCTCGATCAGTGTCGTGCTTTCCTTCCTGCAAGACAGATTGGAGCGAAGGCTGTCTCCCTCCACCCTGAAGGTGTACCTGGCCGCTATTGCCGCATATCGCGAAGCAGTTGAAGGTAAGTCGCTGGGAAAGCACGACCTGATCGTCAGGTTCCTGAGAGGAGCGAGGAGACTGAATCGTCCTCCTCTCGTACCCTCTTGGGACCTTTCAGTGGTTTTAAGTGCCCTGCAGAGGCCTCCCTTTGAGCCTCTGCAATCAGTTGAGATTAAATTCCTGTCAATGAAGATAGCTCTCCTGGTTGCACTGGCCTCCATCAAGAGGGTGGGGGACCTGCACGCATTCTCCGTTGACGAAGCGTGCCTGGAATTCGGGCCGGGTTACTCTCACGTGATCCTGAGACCCCAGCCTGGATGTGCCCAAGGTTCCTACCACTCCCTTCCGGGACCAGGTGGTGAACCTGCAAGCGCTGCCCCTGGAGGAGGCAGACCCAGCCTTGGCACTGCTCTGTCCAGTACGGGCCCTCCGTGCTTACATAGACAGAACGCAGTGTTTCAGGATCTCAGACCAGCTCTTTGTCTGTTATGGTGGGAGCCGGAAGGGAAGGGCTCTCTCAAAGCAGTGGCTGTCTCACTGGATAGTGGAAGCCATTGCTTTGGCTTACCAACAGCAAGGTCGACCGTGCCCCCTTGGTGTGACAGCCCACTCCACCCGGAGTGTGGCTTGCTCTTGGGATCTAGCGCATGTAGCCTCGCTGGCAGACATCTGTAGAGCTGCAGGCTGGGCGACCCAACACATTCGCCAGATTCTACACCTCCGAGTGGAGCCTGCGTCCTCTCTTGTACTCGCTCATCCGGCCAGCACTGGACCCACTCAGGTGTCTTTGCTTGCTCGCCATGGATAAGTGCGATTATTCCTCAGCTGAGCCTTCTATCGAAGCCCTGAGTTCCTCCAGCACTGTTGATGCTGGTGCCAGTGTCTGTTGCCTGTGCGTCGGCTAGGTGCCTCCGTGTGCATGATTCCTTCTGTAACCCCTACATGTATATTTTCCACTGTAAGCCTCTCTGAGCATGTGTCTTCCCTCGGCAAGCCACCTTGCCTTGCCAGCACTGGAGATAAAATTCTAGCCACCCTACGGGTTGGTTACTCCAGTGTTCTTCCATATGAAGTCCCCTTGCGCCATATGTGTTTTCTTAAGTCCTCCCTACGGTAGGCATACTGCGGCATATTTCCTCTGAGATATGCTCCTCATTACCTTGGTGTTCCTGTGCTAAGTAGGACTCCTCGTCACAACTAATTTTACGACAAGGGATCAGACTTTAGCAGAGCACTGGAAGACAGCTGTGAAGGTGGCGTGATTACACGGGGGACCCCCATTCTCCGTCATCCGACGTAACTCGTCGGATGTGACTACGAAAGGGAACGTTTCGGTTATGTATGCAACCCTCGATCCCTGAGTAGGGAACGGAGACGTTCCATCTCCCTGCCACTTCCGCTGTACCGCTGGGTAGACGCCTGAGTTCAGTCTCGGCTCCTCAGCGAAGACATAGCTGTGTTTGCGTCAGCATCCTCCTTTTATGCCCACGTGGTGAGGCGGTGATACGCTATGCAAATTTCGCAGACCCATGGCATTTCTTTGCCATTGGCTTGTTTTTTAACACTTGAAGAGGATTGGCTTTCTAGGCGAAACCCCATTCTCCGTCATCCGACGTAACGTCTCCGTTCCCTACTCAGGGAACGAGGGTTACATACGTAACCGAGACTATATTAGTGAACTAATGTAGTGAATAGTGAATGAGGGTATAGTGTTTCAATGTGAACACAGTAGGGATGCAACGGTACACGGTAAAATCCCGGACCGTTCGGTCAGCCTTGCACGGGACAATCTACCCTCGTGTCCCGCGGGACTTCGGTTTTGCCATAGAGTTCGTGCTGATCCTTTTCCCGTATTTTCCGCACTATAAGGTGCACTTAAAAGCCTTTAATCTTCTCAAAAAACGACAGTGTGCCTTATAATCCGGATCGCCTTATATATGGAATTAGTTAACAACGCTCCGCGTTATTAAATTCGCCCGCGAACTCGCGCTCGTGTCCAGCATATGCCCGCTTTGTCACACGGCGCTGCTCGCGCGTCACAGATGTTCAAAAAACCGCTCCCCGTTCACAGTACCGGGTCGTCTCATTCAAAACAGCGAGCCGTTGCTGCAGCGAGCCGCCGCACATTGAATATATGAGTCAGGCTGCGAATGTACGTTGTGCCCGCCCCAGCGCGCTCACGCTTACTAAATAAACGCCTCACCTCCGGCTCCGCGCACTCGCTACATTCCCAGCACATCTAGTGGATGCATAACGCAAACCCAGTCAAACGTTTGACTGCAGTATCTTTTTGCACAAGAATCTCTCAATTGTGGATGAGTAAATAACATTGCACTTTGTATCCTGAATGAAGTTTTTTTTATTATATTATTTTGCTCGGCTCTTTTTATTCAAACCACAAGCTAATTTATGTTTGTAATTTATGTTTGTTAAAGGTAAAAGTGCACTTTTTCTTTCACATTGATCACTTTATATACCAGTTATCAAGGTTTGGAATTGGGATCCACTTGAATATTCTAAAGTGTGTTTGTTTACATTTTGTATTTTATAAGTGGTAGTTGAAGAGGTTGTATTACTTAGTTCTGTTCAGTACAGACTATAGAGTGTTAATTTATTTCATACACATTGATGTTCTTCCTACTGTGACATTATGTTAATGCATATAAGAAAAATAAAACATATTTTTGGGATGAAATAGCAGTCTCTTTCTGCACAAAACATGTACCGAAACCGAACCGAGACCGTGGCCCAAAAACCGAGGTATGGACCGTACCGTGGGCTATCTGTACCGTTGCACCCCTAGAACACAGCCTCTGAATGTCGACTTTGAGCGCTTTTAATTCGCATTATATTCCTGTAGGCTTCTTTCTCGAAAATGCAAATATAACCCAGAATGCATTGTTTTCTGTGGTATATTACTGTTATAATGGAAAATGGTATGATAGTGTCACTTTTTTTACAGCAAGGGTTAACAGTGCTTGTCATTATGTTTTGAGACGTGCTTGACTCCATTAGAGCACATAAACACAGCAGTAAAGTGACTCATTTGACCAGGAATGAGGAAGCTGCTTTACACACACCCCTGTTTTACACACGTCACTCAAACACACAAGCAGGAAACCATTTCAACTCCTCAGTTCAGAGAAACAGAAACTGAAGTATTGAGTTGAGTTGTTGTGTGTTTGTGTCCCTGTATCCAGTAAAATGGCTGAAGCTAGAATTTCAGTGGATCAGAATGAGTTCACGTGTTCAGTGTGTCTGGATCTCCTGAAGGATCCAGTGACTATCCACTGCGGACACAGTTACTGTAAGATCTGTATTACAGACTGCTGGGATCAGGAGGATGAGAAGAGCGTCTACAGCTGCCCTCAGTGCAGACAGACCTTCAGTCCAAGACCTGCTTTAGGGAAAAACACCATTCTGGCTGAACTGGTGGAGAAACTGAAGAAGACTAAACTTCCTGCTGACTGTTACGCTGGAGCTGGAGACGTGGAGTGTGACGTCTGTACTGGAAGAAAACACAAAGCCGTCAAGTCCTGTCTGGTGTGTCAGGAGTCTTACTGTCAAACTCATTTTGACCGTCATGAGGAACTTTTCTCTCGTAAACCACACAAAGTGATTGATGCCACTGGACGACTGCAGGACATGATCTGCCGTAAACATGATAAAGAGCTAGAAATGTTCTGTATCACTGATCAACAGTGCATCTGTGTGTGGTGTAAAGAGAGTGAACATAAAAACCACAACACTGTATCAACTGCAGCACAGAGGACAGAGAAACAGGTATGAACTGAGAGAGATTGATCACGCAGAAATGAAAGTGTCTTTATTTACTCACTCATTTACTCATGTTGGTCCAAACCGGTTTGATAAATTGGAATATTAGTTGTTATATTTATTGGATAATTGGAATATCAGTTATTTCTAATTTGGAATATAAAAGATGATATTTTGAAGAATGTCTCCTCTATTTTAGTCTATATATTGAAAGTCAGTGAGATACAAAAGTTTCAAGGTCCAAAAAAGGAGAAAAATCAATAATCTAAACAACTAGTGGTTAAAAAAAAGAAGTAGCTTAATTGTGCTGACATGCACTTGTAGTGTTCACCAAATTAAAAGTATTTTTTTTTTTAAACTGTACTTACAGATTATATAATATTAAATTAAATGAAAGGCCACTTAAGTTCACTGTGCACTTAAAGAGAGTCAATGTTCATAACTGTTTCATAAGTAAACTTTATAAAGTACACTTTTTATGATATAAAGTTTAAAGTTTTAGTTAAGATTTTTTTAAGTACATTTTTAATAATATATAATATTTCAATTTAACTCAATAGAATTATGAAATTACATTGTATACTTAAAATACTATTTAAGTGGGTCAAAATGTCACTCTTAAGTTCACTTAATTGCTTTATATTTAAATGTAAAGATTTAAAAATAAATTGGTCTATCTAGTAGCAATTAACATGCAATTACTTATTATTTCTGAAAAAATTACGTTCAGTTCACACTTATTTCACCATTATATTAGTTGTGTATTAGTATTGTTTCCAAAATAAGTAAACCTTTAAAAAATATTTTAAAAGGGACAAAATTTTATTCACAAATTATTGTTATGACATCATGATGTTTAGTCATGTGACTGTACCAATGAGGTTTGATGTTATTGGCGTGTCACCATATTTTAAACAGTTGAGACATTCTTCAAAATATCTTTTGTTGAAGAGTAAATGATGATACTAATGATACAAAACTAGTTACTGATGAAATAATGTTGACATTTCAGTTGTCATTTGCTGTCATTGGTTTGTCCTCCAGAAACAGCTGAAGGAGACGCAGATGAAGATCCGTCAGAGAATCCAGCAGAGACAGAAAGATCTTCATCAGCTGAGAGAGGATGTGAAGTCTCATAAGGTGAGTCTGGAGAAGAAGAGAAGTGTGAGACGTCTCAGTTTGGACTCACTGAACTCACTGTGTGATTGTGATGTGTGTGTAACAGCGCTCTGCACACACAGCAGTGGAGGACAGTGAGAAGATCTTCACTGAGATCATCCGCTCCATTGAGAGAAGCCGCTCTGAGGCGACACAGCGGATCAGAGATCAGGAAAAGACTGCAGTGAGTCGAGCTGAAGGACGACTGGAGCGACTGGAGCAGGAGATCAATGATCTGAGGAGGAGAGACGCTGAGCTGGAGCAGCTTTCACACACACAAGATCACATCCAGTTCCTGCAGGTAACAGAGATCTAGGAGAACAGGATCATAGTGGACTTGAGCAAGATCCTGCTATGACAGAGAAACATTTGATGAGAGCAGAATGAGCCGTTGACTGAGATGTTGTCAGGAATTCAGTCAGATTCAGTCGAGTGTTGTGTTATCATATAATCATCAGTCAGACGCTCATCTGATCATCTTCTGTTTAAAGAGACGCACTTACAAAGAAATGGACCATTAAAAATGAGCTGATTGTGTGAAAGTGCTGGACTGAAGCGAGTCACTGAAGAGAAGTCAAGTCTACAAGAGCCGCACAGATCTGATATAGTGCAGGTTATTGGCTGAAGTGTGGAGATGATGAGTTTTGATTTGTGTTTTCTGTAGAGTTTCCAGTCTCTCTCAGCTCCTCCTGAATCTACAGACGAACCCGACGTTCCCTTCGGTTCTCTCTCCTCTTTTGATGGCGTGAGAGAATCTGTCCGTCAGCTGAGAGACAAACTGGAGGATTTCTGCAAAGAGGAGATCAAGAAGATCTCAGACGGAGGTAAAGTCCTGCGCCTCCTTTATACACACGTGTGAGAAAGAGCCCAAATCTGAACAATCGGATGAACGGATCAATCCGATGTGTGTGTTTTATAAATGAAGCCCCTGGAGATTATTCATCAGCTCTCAGAAATGAGTCCATCATCTAATATCATACAGCATTATATTAGAAATGTCTCAGAAATGAATGTATTTGATCTTGTCATTTCTCTTCACACTGTTCATGTCTGTTTATTTCCACAGTCACTTTCACCAACATGAATCCCAAGACCAGGAACGACTTCCTACAATGTGAGTCACTAGAAAACAAGCAGAAAAACTCACTGAGTGTGTTCATGTTCTTCCTGTAGAAGGAGAAATAAATCATGATAGAAGAGTTTTATAATTGATCATGTAAATGAGGATTTGCTCAGGATATCTGATCATCTGTACTGAGACACTGATGATACATTGAACATTGAGTCATGAAGAGTTCAGAGACATTAAAAGATCAGACAGATTCATAATTCCTGTTTCTGATGTGTTTTCTCTCCATCAGATTCCCATCAGCTCACTCTGGATCTGAACACAGTGAATAAACGCCTCCGTCTGTCTGAGAGGAACAGAGTTATTACTCACACTGACACAGAGCAGCCGTATCCTGATCATCCAGACAGATTTGATCATTATCATCAGGTGTTGTGTAGAGAGAGTGTGTGTGGACGCTGTTACTGGGAGATTGAGTGGACTGGAGATAATGGTGTGTTTATATCAGTGTCATATAAGAGCATCAGCAGGAAGGGACGGGGTTATGAGTGTTGGTTTGGAGGTAATGATCAGTCCTGGAGTTTGCTCTGCTCTTCCTCCAGTTACACATTCTGGCACAATTACACACACACTGATCTCCCTGTAAAGTCCATCAGCAGAAGAATAGGAGTGTGTGTGGATCACAGTGCAGGAACTCTGTCCTTCTACAGCGTCTCTGACACAATGAGCCTCATCCACACAGTCCAGACCACATTCACTCAGCCGCTCTATCCTGGGTTTGGGGTTTATTCTGGATCATCAGTGAAACTGTGTTGATGTTTCAGAACAGATATAGAGAGATTTTACCCATAATACTTTGAGCTGCACAATAAACCAGTAACAGTGAGATGTTATAGAGACTCTTATTTCCTCTTCATTACATTAATACTGATGAACTTCACTGAAATATATCAAAATAAATGTGTGTATCAAATCCTCATAGAGACATTAAGAACAGTGTGTGTGTGTGTGTGTGTGTGTGTGTGTGTGTGTGTGTGTGTGTGTGTGTGTGTGTGTGTGTGTGCTTTTCTCAAACTGTAACTGTTTTGATTAAAACCTTTAATTTGTTTTTTTTTAATTGTGACATAAATACATAAATTATTTTTATTATTTCTATCAAAAGTATCTCTCAGTTGAAATGATCAAACACAGGTTCATTACTGAATGAACAGATTGAGGATCGTGTGGTTTTGAAGGAAATAACAGAACTGGTTGTGAACAATGTAAGGAGTGAAGATGTGGAAATGACATTAGTAGTGGAGAAAATAATGCTGGAAAACAATCACAGTTCAAAATGTGAGGAAGATTGTGATGCAGAAGATGAGGGATGAAGAAGCACTTTCTGAGATTTCAGATATTGGGTCACAAGGGATTGAAATCATGAACTCTAGAAGAAATAAAGGACTTTCACAACGTTTGATAAAGTTGTTGATGAAATAATTATTTCCAGCTGAAAAGGATGCTTATGAAATTAAGGAAAATTCGAATACAAAAATATTTACTCTGTGCTTTTTCTTTTCTGACTGTTGTCTTCTTCTTCCTCTGTATATGTGTGTGTGGAGAGTCTGATCATTATGAGAACATGGTTAAACCTGTGTAAAATCAGGGCATGTGTGTGTAGAGTGTGTCAGAAATCATGATGAAAATTGTAATGTGTGTGAAAACAAGTGAAATAAGTTTTGTTGTGAAAATTGTGTCTTTGTTTTAAGAACTGAATGAATGGTTTGGGAAACTGAGTGTTAGCAATTGAGAAATACACACCCAAACAACAGGACACAGTAATACACATCAGTGGCCTAGCCTATATTTATCAACATATATTTATACACACTACATAATACATACATATATTTACTAAAACACCCTACTAAATGTGAGACTGCAGTGCTCAGTTTTGAGGGATGCTGCAAAATAATCATTGAATCTGAGCTTTCATTGTCTATAGGCACACTATTATATCAAAACCAGCAAAAGCACACCTTGCAATCAAAACATTTAAAAAAAAATACATTAGTTTTCCAGTATTTATATGTAATTATTTTTTTAGAACATCAAATTGGTTACTTATTATATTCCGTAAAACAATGTTAAGTGTTTTTTTTACTCATTTACAGTAATCAGGTTGTACAAAATATAATTTGTCCACTTTTTTAATACAATTTTGTTTACAGTTTTTTTCAACTGCTTGCACACGTTTTCAAAACAATGTCTCCTTTTTTCAAAACTCTACACACAATTACCAAAACTGCACACGCAAAATGCCTCATATCTCCTTCAAAATGTAACACTGCATTTAAAATGCCATAAACACATGTCAGAATGAAGCATTTGCATAAATAAACACTTCTTTCATAAAAAGTACATTTTTGCATACACCAGTGCTCTTCTCTGGGCTGGGTCTGGTCACAATACTCCGTCGACATCACAAGATACGTTTTCTCTTGCCAAACATTGAGGGAAATATCTCCTAGCTTGGCGTATCCCCTCTATGTCCCTACACGCGTCCTTCACAGGGTTGGCGATACACTTTCCAGCGCCAGACTGAGAAGATGAATATGAGGGTGAATACATTTGGCCGGTGTTGTACATTGGCATTGTGATGGAGGACCCCGTCATGAGTGATGGCTGCACACATAGTTTTATTACCCCCTCATGATAACCAACCTCATTCAATCAATGCATTGCAGTGAATGGATGTTTTAGAGTTGCAGATGTGTATGCAATACTAGGCATTTTACAGTGCATTACTGTAATGCTAAAATAGTCATTAGATAGTTGCATACCTGTTCTCATTTCTGAAGGTTCGAATTATGGACGCCACTGTACATCGACTCAAGTTGGTCTGGACTCTCAGTCCAGCCTCTCTCATGGTCAAACTGTGGTTGATCACATGATCAACATGTGTTGCCCTAATCTTTCCTTCCTTCTCTTCTTTGCCCTCACATTCTTCTTCCTCTTCCTCTCCCTCCTACTCCTCCTGCTCTCTGTCTATTTTTGGCATCCATTGTTCAAAACAGGTAATCTGACCTTTGACCTATTTATAGCCGAATAATCCAGTAAAGCAGTGATTGGTTAGTGATCAGTTGCAACTAGTGTTTGCACATGTGAGGAGTGTGTGACTTGGTGAATAAGTGTAGCATTTTGATTGGTTGTGTTTGGAAAAGGAAAGCAAGTCACTTCCTGTTAGATGTTTGTGTTTTAGGTAGAGAATTGTGTGTAGTGTTTTGAAAAAAGTGTCAAGAGTCAAAGGCTGAGAAATAGTGTATGGTTTTGGAGATTTGGTGTGTAGTTTTGCACTTTGAGTGAGAGGTTTCAAAAATTGTGACATGAAAATATGTTGTGTGTAAGCAGTTGGAAAAAAACTGTAATGTGCTTTTGCTGTGAAAAGAAGCAGTCACCTGTTGCTCCACGGAGTCCACGTCTGGATCGGTGAGCTCCCCACCGACCGCCACTGTCACCACTCTGGAATAGGACTGGGGCCTGATCTCCAGTCCGCTGACAATGTCATTCATGCGTCTGTACTTGTCCAGATCAGCCAAACACTCCAGGCTGGCGATCCTCGTATCGTTTTCATTTAGTTTTTTTAGTTCTTTAATTTCGCTCATGAAATCAGTTATCATCTTCTGCTGCTTAGAGACAATCGCAATCTCCTCAGACAGAAAATCAAGCGTTCTCTGAATGTGGTTTGAATATTTGGTTTTGTGTAAAGTTTTGATAAAGTGCAACGCTATCTCACGACCAAATTGTACAAATTCGTATGAGTGAGTGTAAAGTAGCTACAGTAATCTGTACGAATGTCCGATTTGTCTAAACACCAGTGATGGACATGTAACCCATGTTTAAATATGACATAAATAAGAATAAATAGTTTAAAAGCTGCATAAATAAGTCAATTCATCAGAGTTAATTAAAAATGTCAATAAAATAATTTAATGTTTAAGAGTAAAAGTATTCTGCCAAAATTCATGTCATTGCCCTTTAAGAGGTTAGTGACGTTTGACGCAGCACGTCAGTGATGTTGCAGCATAGGCGCAATTGAGAAAGCAGAGAGGAGATTGAGAGAGCGGAGGAGAGAACGAGGAGAACAAACTGTGTTTAATAAGCAGAGAAAAGAGTGAAAAGTTTTGCAGTTGAAAGAAGTCATAATTTGCCTGGTCGGGAACTGACAGGGATTTTATGTGAACTAATCCACACCGGTTTTGGTGAGTTTTGTACTTTATTTTCTTGCAATTTTGTGATCTTGCATTTTTTTCCTCTCTTTTGTGGTGACATACTGAAACGTAGATGTTTTAAACTGTATACCAGTTAATAATTTGTTTATGGGAACTGTGAATGTTATAAAAAGAGAATTAATGTTTTGCAAATGAAGGATGCGTGCAGTAGTTGTGAGTTAAAAGAGACTGCACCGTCGCCATTTTCTGAAGTGAAAAGTGAATCGCAACAGTGACGTTATGACTCAGAGAATGTGAAATATTATCTTTGTTTGTGTTATTTGAGGATTTAAAACGAGATTTATTGTGTTTATGACCTGTTATACAGGTCAGGCTTTTTTGCTTGGTTTGAAGCTCGGTCGGAGCGACGATCGGTCTGCAGTGTGCGGGCGCGCACGTGCGCGGACAGGATTCAAGATGGCGAGCCAGACCCGAATTTTCAACTCATCAATTCCATGGCGTCTTTGAGGAAATCTCACGCGTATGGTGACTTGCTGCCAGAGTGGTAGGAGTGTCAGGAATTGTTTTAAACTGAACTGTACAATTTAACTGAGTCTTTTGAACTGAACTGGACAATTGTTCTGAGTCTTTTGACTGAACTGGGCAATCGAACTGAATCTTTTGACCGAACTGAACAATTGAACTCACACTGAGATTTGAATTTAAAGTGTTTATTTTCTATTTCGTTTTCATATTGAATTCAAATGTTGAATGTGATTTGAAATGTGATCCACTTTGATTTGATTTTGTGATTTGAAGGTATTTTCCTACCTGTAAAAGACAAAAATAGAGAGTAAACTCAGGAAGAGAATAAGAATTCTAAAAGGAAAATTCTCAAATAAGAGTAATTAGGAAAAGACTGGTTTAACTTAGATTAACTCGACTAAAGTGATTTAAGTGAACCAAAAACTGAACTTAGAGTGAAATATAATTTCATTTTACCTACCTCAAGAATATGGGATATTTGGGAACCTGCAGGGAATATTTTTATTTCTTTTGTTTTATTTTGTTATTGAACTGTGCATTATTCTTTTGTTCTACATTCAGTAAACTGCTGGCTTTTGTATTTAAAAAAACGGTCTCTGGTGTGTTTATTATTTTTGCTCACCACTCCTTAGAGCCTAGAACTGGTCCAGTAGCGCGATAAGTGGTGTGATACCGGTGCTACAGACAGTTTTAGGGACGGTTCAGGGGTACGTCATTCATGTGAATTCATATGAATTGGGCAACTCGTAAAATTTTTAAGATTTCGCAAAAAACATACACATTCGTACAAGTGAGGTGAGGTGAATAGAATTAGCCACCTCGAAAAATACGTACGAATTGCTGTGAGATCGGGTTGGAATGTGAGTGATGGTTTCAAGAAATGTGTTTTAGCAATTCAGAAAAACTGTAATGCGGCGCTTTAGTGTGTTCATCGGGAGAAAGCATGGGGCGGAAAGGGCTTGAATGAAGCGCGTTTGGCTCTAGATCCAAATATTAGAGGATGTTGTGCCGAAAGATCATTACCGTAAATCAGAGGTCTCAAACTCGCGATTTTGTGGCCCCTTACTTATCATAAAAGTTTAATGTTAGTGCGGCCCGCGTTGCGTCGCCGCGTTTAAAAAAATATATATCCCTAATGGGCTACCATAAATGGTCTCGTGACAGCTTACGGTGGGGCCGCGGGGGAAAGTATCAACATTATTCACGTTACTCAGAAGTGGATAGAAAATATATGCCATCACCCAGTTCCAGTCATCATGTCTCTCTCAAAACGTGCCGTGAAGAGAAAGGTTGACGAAGAGCACAGGCAATTTCAGGACAAATGGGAGACAGAATATTTTTTTGTCGAGCACAGGGGAACCCCTACAGTACATGTCTCATATGCACAGAGAAAGTTGCGGTGTATAAGGAATATAACATCAGACGTCATTACTCAACTCGACATGCTGAGGAGTATACAAAATACCATGGAGATGAGAGAAAGAACCGGGTTACCAATCTTAAAAAATGTCTATTGAGGCAACAAGATTTATTTAAGAAAGCAAAGAAAGAGAATGAAGCAGCCGTCGAAGCCAGCTACGTGGTGAGTGAGATGATTGCGAAAGCAGGTAAGCCGTTCAAGGAAGGCAAGTTCATCAAAAACTGCATGCTACTAGCTGCAAGTAAAGTCTGTCCAGAAAAGAAGGGTCAGTTTAGCGACATCAGTCTTTCAGCTAACACAGTGGCAGAGCGCATTTCTGATCTTTCAG